GCATGCTTTCTCCAAGATTGGAGGCTTCTCTGGAATTGGGCTAACTCTCTCTTCTTTGCAGAATTGCGAGGCTCTTCCTGGGACACTGTGTGCTTTCTCTGGCACACAGAGAGGACTTCCCCTGGCCAAAAAAAAAAAAAGCCTGCCATCCTTTCCCAGCTGAGTCAGAGCTGAACTGAGGGCAACGGAGCTTCTGGATTGTCTCCAGGCGTGTGTTTTTCCTGGGCGGGTTCCTCCGGTCTGGTTTCATCTGCATTCCTTACCATAAGAACAAGGGGGGGGCATGGCTGAGGGGGGGAGGAAGGAGGTTCAGAGGAGCCTGGCAGGATGACGGTAGTGCCAGGACTGGGGTGGGGAGTGGTCTAACCTGGAAAAGGCTGGTCTCCTCTTCCAGCTGCAGCCCTTGAGTCCTTCTAGGAAGTTGGCCAGGAAGAAAACCATCCACGGTTGGACTTCTTCTTCAAGGAGCAAAGGTGATGAATATAGCTCATCCCCTGTCAGGTGCCAAGAATCAGGGCCCCCAGGTTAAGTTCCTGTGAAGCTGATTTATTCCTCACCACGTGAATCTAATCATCTAACGGTCAGCACTAAATTGGCGCTAGATAAGAATCAACAGAATTCAAGAAGGGTTTGACTTAGATCATTTATGGAAGCATAAGGATTCCAGGCTGGTTCCTCTCTTGACTCCACCCCTGTTTCAATCTGTCCTTTTTCCTACATCCCAAGAGTAGCTAACCAAATCCAGCCACCGAGATGGGGGATGATCCCTTGAAGATGTCTCAGCTTGTAGGGAGATGACTGAGGACTCGGCTTCTTGGGGCAAGTCAACTTCCCTTGGTCCTGTAGCTTCTTCTGTGTAGACAGCAATGTTCCTGAGCATATCAGGATATTCTACGTCACGGTCCTTATATCGTGCCAGAGCAGTTTTGCCTTTGGATGCCAGGCCTTGCTTGTATTTCAGCAAGCAAAGGACAAGACTCTTGAAAATCTTCCCCGATGGCCCTTTGGAAGTTCTGGGAAGGGGCAGAAGCCTCAGTGTTCTTCTAGAATGGAGATGTTTCTTCATGCAGGGGCTGAGATGTGGTTGGCACTTCTCCGGCATCTTCTATGAATTCTTTGGAGAAGGAGATCCATTCTCATCCCTGAATGATAACGGACAGTGTGGTGGGCCTGGATGAGCAAACAGCAACTGTGTCCTGCTTGAATTCAGCCCATCTCTTTCCATTGAGACCCGTACAGCCTTCAAACCCTGACTCCAGATGTTACCAGTGGTGCCTGGGGTGTGAGGCACCGTTGGGTATCCTCAGCATCTGTTGATGACGTGTCCCTCCGAACCAAAGACTGACATCTTCGAGAGTTTCCATGTCGTGTTAAAATGAATGAGGGAGAGAACAAAAATCTTCCAAGGGAGAGCCCATTGGGCCAATCTCTCCTCACCCACAACCCTCAAAGGGAGACATTCACAGAAGAAGGAGGGGAACTGCTCTCACGCAGGGCCCCCAACCCAACAGTGTTCAAGGAGGATGCCTGTCAGCTGTCCGACGAATAGATCCAATAAAAGCAGGTATATTCAGGAACTCTAAAATACTCAAAGTGCATCATTCCGACACGGAAGAAAGCAAACCCAACTCTAAATTTTCTCGCGCAACCCTGCAAAGCTAAACGTAAGTTTCATCCCCTCCTCCCAGGGAATCGGTCCCATTGTCCAGTTAGGAATGGGCCTGTTGTTTTGATAACAGTCCCCGTCTTGGCAGACGCCTCCAGAAGCGTCCTTGGCTCTCACGGTTGGAGATTGTAGCCTCCGTATCCCGTCTCACCCTTCCTTTCCCCCAAGATCTTTGGCAACTTGAAAAGCAATAATGGTCACCAAGAAGCTGAAGCATTTTTCAGTCTTGACAATGCCACGAGCAACAGTTACAAAAGCCGCCCAAGAAGTCTTATGAGATCAGGACGGACCTGCTGCCCCCCACCCACCGGTGGGGACCACTGAGGTTTCTCTCCCATATCAAGGCCACACCCTGATTGAAAGGGGTCCAATTAATCTGGGGGTCCAGGACAGCCGAATCAGGAGAGCTGGTGACACTAAGGCCAGGAGATCTTTGGTATAAGTAAGTCTGCTGAAATGATGGAGAACCTTTTGGGCTCAATGTATCAAAAAAAATTGAAAAATGCCTAACTTGACACACCTATGCCTATGCACACACACACACACACACACACACACACACACACACACACACACGGGAAACATATTTTTTTACATACAGGTAGTCCTCAACTTACAGGAATTCATTTAATGACCATTCAAAGTTTCAATGGTGCTGAAAAAGTGACTTATTTTTTTCCCTTTTTCACCCTTATGACCATTGCTGCATCCCCATGGTCACATGATCAAAATTCAGACGCTTGGCAACTGACTCATATTTATGACAGTTGTACTGTCCGTGGGGAAGGGGGGTGTTATGTGATCAACCGTTGAAACCTTCTGACAAGCAAAGTCAAGGGGGAAGCCGCACTCACTTAACAACGGTGTTACTAACTGAATAACTGCAGTGATTCACTTTAATAACCGCATCAAGAAAGATTGCAACACGGGGCAAAGTTCACTTAACAAACGTCCCGCTTAGCAGCAGAAATGTTGGGCTCAGTTGAGGTCGTAAGCCGAAGGCTACCTGTATTCATTCATTTATTTATTTTTAAATACAGCCCTATTGTGTATGTGAGCCTCAGGATCTGCTGTGTGCCACTTCCCTTCAGGCGCTGTTATTTCTGTGAAAGACCCTTGCAGCCCATCCGTGCCCACTCCAGGTGGAACGGGGTTTACCTTACTGGAGCTGCTTCGAAAACAGCTTTTCTATGAGAGCTGCAACACGTTAAAACTGCTAAAGAGGATAGAGATGATGAAATTAGCCAAGCGGATGAAAGGTGAGTGGCTCCAGAGGCCACAGAGGGCACGGCGCTCCCTCCTGCAGCTTCTGGTGGGCACTCTGCCTTCTTCTCCAGCAGCCTCCGCAGCCTCTGAAAACCACGTGAGAAGAGGGCATGCTTTCAAGGACAGTTGTTGGGGGCCATGAATGCTCATCCCAAGGCGTTGTGTCGTGTCACCTGGGACACACGTGCCATAGTGCGTCAGCCGTGTCCCTTCCTGAGATGGGAAAATTCACTGGGGCCGTCTCACCATGGCCAAACCAGTGTGGCAATCGGGCCACGGCCATCTCAACGCGGCCAACTCTCCCCACAGGACAACTTGCCATGGGAGAATTCCATGCAGGATAACTCCACACGATAAATGTCCCCAAAACGGAAATAATGTAGAAGAAACAGGGGCGGGGAAACATTTATCACATTGAGTTACCCCACGTGGATTGTCCCGTGGTGAGTTATCCTGCAGTGAGTTGGCCGTGGTGAAATGTCCATCCGGAGTTGAGCACGACAAAATGGCCACAGGGAGTTGGCTGCAGCAAGTGGACCCCTCTGAGCAGCCCAGATTGGGTGACGCTTCTCCACCCCTTAACGTCTTGCTTCTGTTCTTGCTTCCGCCCACACGAGGTGCCTCCTGAAGCCTATCTGGAGTTGTGCCACAAGCAGCTGTTTGCAGGGCACTCTGAGGATGCCAGCAGCTGCTTGTGCTGGGTGTTCTGTTTTGGTTTCCGGCGCCTGTCCAGCTGAAACTAACAAGGTTTGAAAACTCTACATGGCTCAGAGCCAGTTGTTTAAGGGGGCCCCTCCCCCCAATCTGGACATTGTCCAGAGTTGCAGACGAGGCCTGGAGTTTCTGCTGCAGAGCTTGAAGCAGGCTGGGCTGCCTTGAGTCCAGGTAGCCTTCTTGCCAGAATGGTAAGAAATCACCAAGTTGCCCTCAGTCTCACTTTTAAACAATTTGTGGGGTTGGGGAGTTGGGGGGGGCTGTTTAAGGCATGGTATACCCAGTGCCCAGACTAGGGCCAGACTGCACGATTTCTCAGCCTCCGGAGCACACAACAAAATAGCGGCTGCAGAGAGCAGGTGTGGATGAGCTGGGGGTCAGACCCCAAATGTGCTTCTTGCAGTGTCAAAATGGGGGTGGGGGCACCTAGAAATCCCTCTTGGTTGTTCTGCTCTTGCAGCTCCTGCCCTGCTTTGTGAAGACCGTTCAAATGAAGAGGCTCCTGGTTCTTCCTGGCTGGGACTTCGAAGGACCCTCCAGGGCTTCTCTCGAAACAGTGGGTTCAAGACAGGGGTGAGCAGCTGGGGGGGGCTCGCAGGGGCTCAGGAGAGCCCCCAGCTAAGACTCTGCAGGGCTCAGAGAGCCCCCAATAACTCAGAAAGACAAGCAGCAAGGGAAAGCTCTTAATAGGCTTAATTGAACTTCTGGGCATTCAGCCAAAGCATTTCACACCTTGTAAAAGTGTGGCAAGCTAGATAAACAATCCACTCAGCGCTTATGAGGGAGAAACATTGAGAAAATCAGACAGCACAGCCACAAGCCTCCGAGGGGATTAATTCCAAAATAATAAAAATCAGCTAACTCCCCAGAAACTCCACTAAGACTCCCAAGATCCCTCTCACAGTCACTGCTGTTAAGCCTGGTTTCACCCGGTCTTTTATTTAAGTATTAAATGCACAAAATAATAAACAACATTTGGGTACATTATCTTTCTTTAGGTAATTAGGGCAAAGAAGCGGTCGAGTTGGCCACACCCAGCCAGCCACATGACCACCTAGCCATGCCCACCCGATCACATGACCACCTGATCACAGGACCACCCGATCATATGACCACCTTGCCATACCCACCCAGCCAGTCATTAGGGCAGAGAGCCCCTTGCTAAAAAATTTGAAGCCCACCCCTGGTTCGGGACCACCACCCCCAGGCTGTGCCTACAAGCAGCAAATCCCCCCTAGAGCAGGGCCAATAGATACTTCCCCCCAGGGCTTTTGCAGGCCCCCTCTGATTTCTGGGACCCCCCCCCCCCCAGCAAGGACTCCCCAACTCACGCGTTGCTCTTCTCTCTTTGCAGAGAAAGCCGGGTCCTGCCCAAATGTGAACGTGCCCATCCCACCTCTGGGCATTTGCAGAACCACGTGTCAAACAGATTCGAACTGTCCAAACATCAAGAAATGCTGCAAAAATGGCTGCGGGTTCATGACTTGTTCAACGCCCGAACCCTGAGGTGAGCATCTTCGGTTCGTGGGACACCCACGGAAGGGGGAATGTCTTGGGGTGCAAAGGGCCCCCTTGCCAGAGAGCAGAAAAAGGCCCCCCTGGCTCAGCAGAAGCCCCTCTCCCCAGACAGGGGAGGGAACACCAACCCAGAGCCTGGACCCACCACCAAGGTGCAAGATGGAGTACAGAGCAGAGGTGGTGAATTCAGCCGGTTCTGAGCAGTTCTGGAGAACCGGTAGTGGAAAGTTTGAGTAGTTCGGAGAACCGGCAAATCCCACCTCTGACTGGCCCCGCCAACTCCATCTATTCTCTGCCTCCCGTTGAGTCCCAGCTGGACAGGAGAAGGAAGCTGGAAAGCAGGTCAGTGGGGTGGGGAATGCCACGCCCACCCAGCCACACCCACAGAACCAGTAGTAAAAAAAAAATTTGAATCCAACCACTGGTACAGAGAGAAGCAAACCCTCACAAGGAAAAAGAGGTCCAGGAAAGGAGACAATCTGGAGAAAAGAAAGAGTAGGAGTGGCATGATAGAAGTATTCAAGTATTTGAGAGGCTGCCCCAAAGAAGAGGGGGTTAACTTATTTTCCAAAGCACCTGAAGGCAAGACAAGAAAAAAAAGAGTCTCAGAATTAATAGAATAACAGGGTTGGAAAGGACCTTAGAGGTCTTCTAGTCCAGCCCCCTTCTACAGCAGGAGACCCTATACCTATACCATTACAGGACTGTCCAGTCTCTTCTTTAAAACCTCCAGTGATGGAGCGCCCATGACTTCTGGAGATAAGTTCTTCCACTGGTTAATTATGAAATTTCTCCTTAATTTCAGGCGGTTTCTCTCCTTGATTAGTTTCTATCCATTGTTTCTTGTCCTGCCTTCTGGTGCTTGGGAAAATAGCTTGACCCGCCCGCTCCCCCTTCTCTGTGGCAGCCCTTCAAATATTGGAACACAGCTCTCCTTTCCTCTCTGGTCCTTCTCTTCCCTAGACTAGCCAGGCCCAGTTCCTGCAACCGTTCTTCATACGTTTGAGCCTCCAGTCCCCTCATCTTCCTGGTTGCTCTTCTCTGTACTTTTTCCAGGGTCTCAACCTCTTTTCTTATAGTGTGGTGACCAAAACTGGATGCGGGACTCTAGGTGTGGCCTTACTAAGGGTTTATTTCTCCTTTGTTCTGCAGATACAGCTCAGGCTGGGGGATCCGATGCATTCACAGGACTGGACTCTGAAGAAATGGCCGTGATACCCGTGACCTCCTTCCTGCCCAGGCCCACCCAGGCCTCTATGCTGGAGACCCTCCAAGCCTCCCTCTTTTTCAGTAAAGCTCTCATCTCTCACAGCAGCCTCTGAGTCTTCTTGTTTTGTGCCAACTGCTTGGCTAACCTTCCCTTTGGCAGCAGGGGCCCCTTCTCTGCTTGGCTCTGGCCGGGGAGGCAGAACAAGGGGGACCTTCCCCTGGTGTCTCAGCCACAGAGTCAGCAACTCTATTGACTTCTGCCCAAGATACAAGAATCTCCTTGATGCCTGCCTGCCATTGGAAACACCAGATAAGGTTTCATGGAACTCAGAGAGGCTCTTGTGGCCGCACAAAGACTCCAAACTAGATCCCCGCTTCGCCTCTCCTTCCAGCCTGTCTGGGTGTTTCACAAAACCTGGCCATCCCTTCCACCCCCCAAACTTTTCCCTTTTGAAATTGAAGGTTGTAGTCCAAAATGTCTCAAATGTAAGAGGAAAAAGTCAAGCTGGCTGTTTGACGGGCCCCTCTGGTTGATTCAGGGAGCCTCCAGCTGTGATGGAAGCAAGCGTGGCAGCTGATAAAGGAAGGGCAAGTAGAGGCTACGGATGCCTCTCTCAATCTCTTCATCCTTAGGGATGAAGTATCCTTCATGATAGGCGCACCTAGCAGTTTGAAAGCATGCAAATGCGAGTAGATAAATGGGTACCACTTCGGTCGGAAAATAACAGCGTTCCATGTGCCTTTGGCATAAAGTCATGTAGGCCACATGATCACTGAAGTGTCTTTGGGTGACGCTGGTTTCTTGGCCAAGAAATGGAGATGAGCATCCAACTGGGCAGGGACACCTTTACCTTTACTTTTATGTTTTTTCTCTAGTCTTGTACATCACCCAGACTTGGAAGGCCAATATTTTAAACAACTGCATCAAAATCCACCCAAGAGTGGTTGGAGGACACTAGAAGATGCTATGTCTCCAGTGGGCATCCTGCCAAGATTTTCTTTTTTATGACTACAAAAACAAAAACAAACCCTCTGAATGTTCTCCTTTCATGCACCACCAGGGGGCAGCACGTGACCAGTTTTCTCTTTCCTTGAGACTCATCAGACATCTGTAGCCAAATATTAGATTTAAATCCTCACCTGGGACCCCCGTGCTTAGGGGCACTCACACTTTTAAAAAAATATAATCGTATGAAACTTATCAAAGTATAAAATACACATAAAAATGAAAATGAAGAGATCCCTTTGCTTTAGGGAGCAGGCCGTAGAGACCGAAGATACTGGAAAAGATAATAAAAAAGCAGATCTGCCAACATCTAGAAACAAGTAAAGTAATAACTAGCAGTCAGCACGGGTTTGTTTAGAACAGATCTTGCCAAACCAATCTTATTTCATTCTTCAACATGGTGACTAAATTAGTAGACCAGCAAAATACTGTGGACATAATATATTTAGATTTCAGCAAGGCACTCGACAAAGTAGACCACAACCTACTTCTTAGTAAGCTAGAAAAAAGTGGAATAGATAGCACCACCACTAGATGGACTCGCAAACTGACTGGCAAACCGTACTCAACGAGTAGTCAGTCCTTAGTGGGTCTAAGTCTACCTGGAGGGAAGGAAGCAGTGGGGTGCCACAAGGTTCAGTCTTAGGCCCAGGACTCTTCAATATCTTCATTAACTACTTAGATGAGAGAATAGAAGGGGAACTTCTATTCTATTCTATTCTATTCTATTCTATTCTATTCTATTCTATTCTATTCTGTTCTGTTCTATTCTGTTCTGTTCTGTTCTATTCTTATTCCATTCCATATTTTCTATTCTATTCTATTCTAATTCCATTCCATTCCATTTCATATATTCTATTCTATTCTATTCTATTCTATTCTATTCTATTCTATTC